GTGACAAGCAGAAGGACTCAGCCAAGCTCTCCAAACAAGAAAGGAATAAGGGTATGAGTGCTTCTTTCTCAAAACTTAAATATCATTATTCTGATGAAGGCCTCAGGCTGAAACGCATTGGCTTTAAATGTGTTATTCCTCATACTACTAGTGATGCTAGAGTCTTACCTCTTTTTGCTTACTCCACTTACCTTGAAAGTAAGCGCAGTTGTGCCTTACTTTGAAAACTTAAAGTAAACAGCATGGAAAGTGTTAAACTCCGTTAACATAGCGTGATAATTGCGTTTCACATTTTTGAAGGGGTTTGAAGGTAGGCTAACTTGATGCAGTTTCCAAACCAGTTCTGTGACAAGTTTAATTCTTACCTTGCCTCCCACTTGTTTATGGAGGACTTGTGTTTTCCTTCCATCAAAAAACGTTCTGAAATGTTTGATATTTAATGCTCCTTTGGTCTAGTCAAGTTTGGCATATGTGAGGTTAAATTATTCTGTGAAACAAAGGAGGAAATACTGTAGCCCCTCTGAGCAGGGGGCTCAAGATGCTGCATCAACAACACTTGCATCATCCTGTTAGTCAGGGTTCTTACGGTCATTCAAAACCTGGAAAAGTCATGGAAATTCAAAATGCTAATTCCAGGACCTGGAAAAGTTATGGAAAACAATATCTTTCCCAAAGTTTTGGAAAAGTCATGGAAATGTAACCAAAGTTACATCAAATATAATTTATATTTTATCTAATCGCTGAAATAGTAATAATATAACGATAATAAATACTGTATCGTATAGTAATGAAACTTAAATGGCATTTAACTGTTGAGTTATTTTGCTGGTGAGACATTGTAGTTGCTTTAGCGTGTAGAAGCTAGCAAGCCTACTATTTGATTTGTTTTAGATAGGCACAACATGTTTCATATGCAGACCTGTTCCATGTTAAAATAAACAATTTTCAGTGGGACCGCTGAGAATGTAATTTTTTTGGTCATGGAAAATGAGGTAAAGGTCATGGAGAAGTCATTGAAAATCATTGGTGAAAAAGTGTATGAACCCTGGTTAGTACACTTGACAGAGTTCTTCCACAGTCACAGAAGAAGTAATTGATAGTCTGGTAGTGTGCTTGAGTACATTTTGTACTTATTCTACATACTTTATTTCCAGCTGCAACAAAGAAAAAGAAGGACAAACTTGCAATCAAAGAAGAGACGGAAAAAAAGAAGGTAATTAGTTACATTTTTTATGAGACATTAAAGCCACTGGTTTAGTAACTTGTTCAACGCATGTTTGTTCAACTTTACTTATTAGGCTGTTATTTCTTCTGTTTTTCTTCTAGACTGTGCCGGCAAAAAGGAAAAGAAATGAAAGTAAATCTGGAGAAAAAGTCATCAAGGCAAAAAAATCAAAGACCCAAACTAAATCCCAGGCTGTGGCTGGAGACGATTCTGACTCTGACGACAGTCTGGATGTAGATAAATGGAAGAAACTCCTCCAGCAGATGACAGGTAGGTGAGGGCGTGGGTCTGAAAAAGGGCATTTGTGTGCAAGTGTGTGTAAAGGGTGAAGATGAATCGAAAGTTTCCAATCATAATTTCCTGGCACTTTCAAATGAAGCTAATGGTAATATTTCCGAAAATAATTAAGATTTAAGTCACAGACTCCCGAGATAAGAAGAAACATTTATTTTTTACATTGAGAAAGATAGAATTTCTGTTTTAAGGAATGAGCTGCCAACAAAATAAATGAAACCCTACGGAGAGCTGTGATTAAGGCTGTTGTGTTTCTTAAAGCATTTTCAAGTATCAAGAATAACTTACCTATATATGATTGATTTTGCTAACTTATAACTGAACTTATGAGGCAATATACCTCACCTCTAGTGAGCGGCCCTCGGTGAAAAAAGTTTGGACACCCCTGGTTTAGAGGGTTGGAAAATGCTGGACATGTTGGAAGATGGAAAACCATTTAGGGCCGAGTCCTCTCAATTAAAGAGAGAAAGACAACCAAGAGGTAGGACCACAACTCCAATGAATAACGTCACCATGGGAAACAGTGATTTCATACAAACAGAGCTGGGTACAGAAGCTGTGTGGATACTGTTGATGTTTTCTTTTAAGCATTTGTGCCACCTAGTTGTGTTAGTTTAATGTATTCGTCATGTTTACTCTGTCAACAGATTCAGACATGGCCAAGATGGACACCATCAATGCGCTGGACTCTGCTGCATCACCACCCGCACAAAAGAAAGTGAGGAAATCCCGGGTAAAGCCTCCCGCAAAAACAATTACTCCCAATGAACAGAACACAGTTGGAGAGAATAAGACAATGGAGGAGAAAGCCATTACAGAAACACCAACAAAGAAGAGTAAACCCAAGAAGAGTACGTCCAAAAAGAAGGCGCCTGTGATCTCCTCTGCCGCTCCGAGCCAAGAGGAAAACTTCAACGCTGTAGAAGAAAGAGCACCGACGCCCACTCTTAACTCGTCAAAACAGGATGAAATAAAAGATGTGACCATGATTGAAGAACAAACTGATGAGACACCGTCTGAGCCCAAGAAAAAGAAGAAGAAGAAAATTAGTGAAGATAATGTGGAGGAGAATACAAATGACACAGGTGTCAAAGGAAAAGATGGCAAGAAGAAAAAGAAGATTGGAGTCACTGAAGGGACACAGGGAGATAGCATAGAAGAAGAAATCATAGCGAAGGACGAAAGTGTTGATAATGTGGACACTTTAGAACCAAGAAGAAAAAACAAGAAGAAGAAAAAAGCTGAAAAGGTACAAGAAAATACAGAGCTGATAGTTGAGGAACCAAAAGAGACAGAAGAAAGTGAAGAAATATTAGAACAAAAAGTAGAAGAAAACGGGAATAATTCAGAAGAGATACCTGAAGAAAAGAAGCAAAAGAAGAAGAGGAAGGAGATTGCTAAAAATGAGAAAAACTCAGAGCAGATCGTTATAGAAACGAAAGCAAAGAAGAAGAAAATGGAGAAACCTGATGAAGACAATTCAGAGCAGATCGTTACAGAAAAGAAAGCAAGGAAGAAGAAAAAGAAGAAACCTGATGAGGACAATTCAGAGCAGATCGTTAAAGAAGCGGATGATAGCGAGGAGATGACAGAGCAGGTATCTGAAGAAAATACAACAATGACAAAGATATCAGAGAGCGGTGACGGAGAGGAACAGCCAGAGCAGAGCACTGAGGTGAAGAAGAAGAAGAAGAAAAAGCTCTTATCATTGGAATATAATGACACAGAGCCACTGCTTCCACTCAACCTCGACACGCCAAGTCCTCCGACAGATAAGCAGAAAAGTGAGTCCCCGTAATCATGACAAAATTCTATTTGGGGTTTTGTCTTTTGCAAGTTTGTATTCACTTTTTAATTTTTTCATTCTGTCAGAGAAAATCAAGTTAAAATCAGCTGATGTCCCAGAAACCCCTGCACGTTCTGTCACAGACAGCGAACCTACAGAAACCATCCAGACACCCTCAGGGGACTCCAGCCACAAAAAGGTACGACACATTCTACTTCTCACCTCTTCTCCGACTCTGGTCAAAGCATAATAAAATGTTATGGAAAGTGGAAAGATAACTCATACTTACTTTTCTGTTATTCTTCACAGAAAAAGAAATCCTCCAAGAGTCATGAAGATGTCTGATTCTGCATCACTGGAAACGCATCCTGTCCATCTTAGTACTAGTTATTTTTTAATTGTCCTAAAGATAGCTGTAAAAACCAACTAGTTTTCTATTTGGAACATTTCTTATCTTTTTATTTTGTTTTATATTTACCAACACAGTGTGGCCTACTTTCTGTATATTTTTATTTTGTATCTGATAGTTCCCTTTTTAATGGCATGAGTATGTGAAAAGTTTCTGATTGCTTCGTGCATGGATGATGGATGATCCCTCTTATGATATTTTTCTATTTCAATTATAATAATAATAATGTCTCGTAAGCACATTCATTTGTATGCCTAAAAACTACAACGGTTTTATATTTATGTAAAAATACATTGGAAACTGTTTAACAGCCTATTTTGGTATAAGGTTGAATACATAAGCCTGTTTTTCAAGCAACATTTTATATATTTTATAAAGCTTTTACATGTGTACAAACATTATGCCTTCAAATACAAATTAAAACTCCAATCTCCTTTGCCTATCTGACCTATGTTGTGTTTACTGTAGACTGAGGTGGGTGGACTTTTTGAATGTTGTCAGTGGAAGAAGAAGTGCTTCACTTTCTCCTTTAAAAAAACTGTGAATTAAATAATATACCTACGTAAATAATCTTTGATGTCTCTTCAAGATGGAGCTTTCAGTTCTGATATGATGCTGGATAGTTCAATGAATAATAGTTCTAATGCATGATATTGTTATTTTTATATTTTGTGAGTAAAATCTGAATCTGCAACATTACTACCATTATCATGTAAACATATTACTACAATGTTTACCCTGATGTAGAACTATACAGTAAGTTGAGCAGTTGAATTGCATACTTTGAAGTGCTTAATGGGCTTTTTGTTATGGTTATAAGTTATTTTGGGGTACAATAATAACAAGTCAACTTTTTTAGTCGATTCCTTTGCCCGTCCACACTACAGCTTTGACAGCTATACAAATATATACATTATGTATACAAACCTATACATATACACATTAAGAGGTAGAAATAAAAAATAGACAGTAAATGTTCAAAAAGAGTGTAGTCTAATGGGCTAGACGGATGAATTGAACAATATTATAACATATTTCAACATTACAAATACAGTAGTGCAAAACTGTCTGGTGCTGGAGCTGTGTGAACATAATTTAATAGAAAATCATATTTTAACATATTAAACTTAAAGCATTTTAAAGCCCAGGCCAAGATGCCCCCTTGGCACTGAAGATAAATGCAGTGTTCAGTGTTTCACTTGTGGGTGCAGTACCTCTCTCTGCCAGCTGGGCCCGCTAGATGTCGCTGCAGCATCTGAAGGTCTGTAAAGAAAGACAGCGAAGAAGAGCTTCATCAAAAAACATCTTCCAACATGAGACAAGAAGAGGCCAATCTAACCGGTGTTTAACTGTTCTACCTGCAAGCTGTTAACCTGGAAATAAATACTATGTGGAGATTAAACAAAGTCCGCCACAAAGCTGGTCGACCAGGAGACAGCGTGGAGGAGCTGAAGTTAAAGAGGCGAGAACACGAGAAAGGTGAGTTCTAATGACAAGTAGTGTGATGTGTTTTAATTTAGTCTGTCATTAACCAGCCAACACACGCTTAATAACTTTCCAATAGACTGGTTATGAAACAACAATAACATTGACCAATCAAGACATCAAGTATAAAAGAGGCTTCAAAAGTTTATAAGAACAAAAATAGCAATATGGAAAAATGTATGTTCTTTTTTATCTAAACTAACTTTATTTCAAAGTATAAACGTTTAATTATTAACGATGTGACTAAGATACCTAAAATCGGATTGGTGAGAAGTACTCAGATCTTGTACTTCAGTAAAAGTAGAAGTACCAGAGTGTAGTAATACTATGTTACAAGTAAAAGTCCTGCAATCAAAATGTTACTCAAGTGAAAGTAGAAATGTACTAGCATCAAAATATACTTTAAGTGTTTTTTTTCCAATTACTGATGCATTAATGTTTTTATCATACTGGTCAAGGTGCAGCTGGTTTTAATTACTTTGTATGCTGCCGGGTAGTAGCCTACATGTTTTTAAGGGTAGTTTATGTTTCACATTATTTATCCAAATCTGCAAAGTAACTAAAGGTGTTAAATAAAGTGGAGTAAAAGTACAATATTTACCTCTGAATTGTAGTGAGGCAGAAGTACAAAGTAGCATAACATTTAAATACTCAAGTAAAGTACAAGTCCCTCAAAATTATAGTACAGTACTTGAGTAACTGTACTTAGTAACTTTACACCACTGCCTAAAATGCTCTTGTTTTTTAAATGCTGCAGCGCTGAGACAAGCCCGCAGAGACAGACAGCTTGTGAGTAAGAGACTCCTCCTGAATGACGATGAGGACCAGTCAGAGGTCACCATGGACACCAACTCAGGAGAACAGGTGAGAACGACAATGTGATAGATAATGCTCTGATAAATCAAGTAAAACTCCCCATCTCACCATGCTCCACTTTTCCCTCAGGATGTGGTCGCTGTTCTTCAGAAACTTCACCACAGCGGGCCGGAGAGGGACACCCACCTGAAAGCTTTGAGTAAAGCTCTGCGGGACCCGTCAGCACAGCTCACCTTCATCAAGTAGAGCTTTAACTGTTATCGTCACATCCATGGTGGATTATGAGATATGAGCCCCTTGTCACAGCCATGTAAAAGCTCCCCCCCCCCATCTTTCCTACATAGGTCCAAGTCTCACCTCCTCTTTTGTTGTGGTTTTTTGTCTCTTTGTAGTCTTTTTTTGTAAGGCTGCACTGCCCCTGAACGTCAATAATGACCATTCAGTTGACCTTGAATTTGATTTGGGCATCTGTTTTTTTAGAGAAATGCTCATTAATAATGTTGTCGTTTTTTGTAAATTGTGTGATCTAGTAAAACATTTGATCATAAATGTTTGGTTTCAGGCTAAACAGTTGAATAATTATGGCAGGGCCAAATTGACACATTGTCCCTCTGGGCCTGTGGTAAGTAATGCATCCATGGTCACATCATATGGGATTAAATGGCGTTGTTGACATTTTTTGTGTCCTCCCTGCAGGCAGGAGAATAGTATGCATCTTCTGGTTGGTCTCCTCACCGGCTATGATGCTACGTGCCGTCTGCAGGCGGTTCGATGCCTGCATGATTTACCATACAAGGAAAAAAATAGAATTTGATTGAAATAAGTGTCATATGCTTGAAATTAATAATTGCTACACTATTCTATGGTTTGGCCTAACCACCTTCTCATGAGTCTAGAAACATGAAGTCATTTTTCATCTTCATGGTCTCCACCATCCATATTTACAATTGTTCATTTCAGGACGTTAGTTTACAATTGAGTTTCATTTTCATCTTTACCATGATCGAGTTTTATATGAAAATTCAAAAAAAAGGTTAATGACTACGTTAATACAAAAATAGTATTCTCGACCAGTTTCCACGTGACCAAATTAATTGAAACATACGGGACGGGCCATCATTCGGATGTTACCAAAAATTCCCATCAAAATACAAAGTTGTAATAAATAAGGTGTTAGGACGTTCATTGATTTCCACAAATTTATTTCACCTCATTTTCATGTTATAAATGGAGACTTAACCCATCACTCCAGTTCTTCATGTTTCATCGTTATTGTAAATTTATAGTTCATTTCATGTTCAAGGGAGTTTTATTATATGTCATTGAACGTCATTGGACATAATCATTGAAAATGTGGTGGTTGACGATTTTACGAGAACCAAAAAAATTTTACGACGTCGCGACTCCTGTTCGGGCGTCTCTGTCTGTCGAACACTCATTCTCTGAGGAGGACTTTACTGCATCCTGGTCAGTCTGCCAGTGGTACTGTGGTGAGTCCCTCTTGTCACTCTTGCTGCTACCACTATCTATTACGAGACTATTTAGTTCATTTGAGGGTAGAGTGGTAGCGAGGGGTGAAAGGAGTCCTACACCAGCGACAAGAATTGAAGTCTTTTGAAGTGGTGTCGCCCGGCTCTCCCTGTGGGTGGACTTTCGAAACCTCTTCGAGACGCCTGGGCAGTCGTTACGAGGGGTGGAAGTAGTCATCTCGAATTGAAACAATAGCAGTTGTAGGACCACCTAATAACTCTATACCTCGGGGAACCAGGTGTCGGTACATTTTCGAGGGGGGGGGGTTAGAAAGGATGGTATCCAGGTTCAAGTGGAGGAGAAAAAACAAACACAAAAACAGAGAAACATCATGAAAAACATGTCCGACGGTGAGCCGGGGAACTTTTGCAGTTATTACTGGTAAGGTCAACTGGAACTTTAAACTAACCCGTACGACAAAAAAGATTCTCTTTACGAGTTAATATTACAACAGCAAAAAAAAACATTTACACGACTAGATCATTTTGTAAACTTTAGTATTTACAAACCCAAAGTCCGATTTTTCAACTTTATTATACCGTTCCCGTTTACTGTGGTTAACAGGGGGGAGGACCCGGACACCATTCATTACGTAAGGTAACCAGTGTAGTATACCCTAATTTCCGCAACAACTTGTAAAAAAAACCACAAGGAGGGACCGTCCGTCCGTCTTATCATGACCGGTAGAAGACCAACAGAGGAGTGGCCGGATACTCGATGCAGGCAGACGTCGCCAAGCTACGGAACGTACTCGACCAGGAGTGAGGGGGTTGTGGTCGCACCGAAGGCGACGGTATGACGGGAGGGGGATGGGATGAGTGATGGAGGGCCTGTCCTCGTGGTTCAAGGGACACTCACGAGAAGTAATGGCTCATCACAACATTAAATAGGTTGAACAATATACACTGTAAAAACTTAAAGGGGTACACACACAAGTACGGTCCCTTGAGACAGAAGATGTGCGAAACCATTAAAAATACGGGCCCTATCAACAACACTTTTCTCTTCGAGGACCGTGTCCACCCCAATAGCCCGGTCAGAGTCCGGAGAGAGTCACAGCAAAAATCTTACCTTTAGCTAATGAAAGAATAAAAAAATAAAAGATAAGAGTAATAATAAAAGATAAGTATTGCGGTAGCCAGAAATAAAATAAGAAAATATAGAATAAATAACTGTAATATAAAAAGAAGGACCTGAGACATTTTTAAAACTGGTAAACTAAGGAACGTTCCTTGAACAAGATGTGCCGCATAATCGGAGTTTTATTCCACTTTCTCTTGAGGACCGGTCCCTAGGCCACGTGGACCCGAATACGACAAATCTCCATTCCATTATGGACAACATTAGCTTAGATGAGACAGTAAGTTAAGATTGGGTGCATGTTAGTCCCTCCTACGCTTCTTTTACATTGTTTCTCTATCAATAACTTCAGTAGAGGTCAGTTGTAGTTTTTGTGTGAGAGCCTATCCTCCCGCCATATCATTCATATGTTTCTTATATTTATGATTATTATGTCTAATTTTCATACCAACAATATTTTAGGTTGTAAAAAATGTAAAGAAAGTTCTAAATGATTACTAGCAATGACAAACAACGTTCCAAATGTATGTCCCCAAATCCAACTTCATGATGCAACTGCGAGATGTGTGCGATCGGTGACCGACCGTGCTGGAACACGTCCTCGAAGAGAACAGTGTGGTGAGTAGGCCCGTATTCAATGTGGTTGCGGCACGGACCTTCCTGTGGCTTCTCAAGGACGTACCTTGTGTGGTTACCTTTAAAGTTTACAGTGGATATTGGCGCGCGCAACCATTTTAATGTCGTGAGTGAGGGCCGGCCAGGCGTGTGTTCGCCTCGGTGGAGTGTCACTTGAAACACGAGACAGCCTCTCCATCCATCCGACTGCGCGCGGGCGGCGGCGGATGCGCCCGCGGGGTTTTTTTTTGGTCCGGCCTCGGTGCGAGGCCCCCAGCACCCCCCGCCGCGCGGCAGCTGGCGC